GGAAAGACATTTTATCCATATGTCTCGAAAGGAACCTGAGTAAGAAATCTTGATCTACTGTAGAACTTGATTTTAAAATCTTACCTAAAGTCACAAAAGTACCTTGTACTTAAACAGGGCTTCATTTAAAAGAAAATGGAAGCCTATAGAAAAGCAAATAAACACTGCACACTTCATGGCTGCTCAAAAGTAAAGAATGGTCTTCAAACATTTCTTAATTTTTGATCAGACAACTGTAAAATAATGGCAGTTAAAATGTTATAAAAGGAAGGGAAATGTTCAGTGTATCATCAATTCATGAAGACAAGAATTCTGCAATCCCTAAGAAAATTAGGGTGGACTGCTCAACAAAAAAATCAGTTTTTAAACTGTTCTCATACTTCTACCTTTCCCTTTATGATTTCATTCTGTTAACTTGGACTTGAAGTGATTACTCATTTTTTTGTTTTTAATGGGGCTAATTGGAAGTCAAAGTAAGTCACTGAGGAAAGGAAATTTCAGAATGGCAAAAACAAAAACAAAAAATATTGGAAGTTTCCTCTGATATAAATGGAATATTTTCCTTTGCTTTGCCCTCCACCTAATGAAGTCTTCCCTATGAGGTGATAAACCCCCACAACTAATCATCTTTGCAGGACTAACCTGCCAGGCCAAAATTTTGATGAATTATATGCCAACAATTAAAACTGTTGTAGTTTTTGGAGATTCTCCAAAGTTGGCTAAGTAAGGGAAGAATGCATTCTAACATGTTTTAAACTGATCTCTTATATTTTATTCAAAATATTCATGTAACTGAGCTAATTCATTCCATTAAGCCACTTTTGTATTAATCCCTTTGGAAAACTCCACACATTGTGATTTGTAATTTGAAGACCTCCAGAGGGGGGGAGGGGGGGGGGAAGCATTCTACTTACATTGTTTTAAAGCAATAGATCAGGAGTACAGATCTTGGGTAGAGAGACATAAGCACATGAAACAATCAATGTTGAAACCACATTTCTCAGATTTAGAATTGGTTGGAAAACCAGATTTCCTTTCTGTGGGAAACTGCAACATTTAAAAACTTACTTTCATTCAGAATTAAAATGGCATGTTGAAATTCCTTGGAGGAAGTTAATTCTGAAAAAATTCAATTCTAAATCATGAAAATATCTTCCTTCAACAATGCTTAATATTTTTTCTATGATGCATGATTATAATACAACACAATACATGTTATTTTACTGTGTGATCACTATACATGAACATACTACTAAACTTATCCAAATGCAAGTAAAAGTTAAACATGTCAATATAATCAAAACAAAGAAAGACATTCAAAATAAATAAATTTGACTTTTACTAATTTAAAATGTCACCAATAGACATGCACCTAAAAATGCTTTTTTACCAAAATTCATTTTCTAATGGAAAACTGTTTTCCTCATTTATTTTTAACAGTTCTTAGATGCTAAAAAAGTATATCTCTTTGTTTCATGGTACTTATTCAAACAAACAAACAAGCTTTAAAAAGAGTATTTGGACATCAAAAAACTGTTGTCCTGCTCACAGAACATGAAATAACTTACAAAGAGAATGGTAACAATTAGTAACTGTTACTGTTTTTAAGTGACAGCTACGATACATTAAATAAATGCATATAAATGCTAAAAAATGTTTGCTTCTGCCTAGATTTTTTTAAATTTTTTATAATAGGTCATATTTCCACAAGACTGCTGTACCCAGAGACTCTGATGTAGGCCCCTAAAGGAAGAAGCTAGATTTTTGAATGATCAGCATCCTGAAATTACTACTGTGAACAGGAGTAACTACTAGGCACTGAACACATGTGCAAATCTCCCTAATTCATTTCAGTGACTAAATTACCTTAGTACTGCTGAAAATCTAATACTTGTATACATAAGTAAATAACAATAAATAAGCATGATCTGGTCATATTTATCCAAGACTATTGCAGAATTCTAAGAATGATATATCTAAGTTGCTAACAAACTTACCCAATTTCTCATTAAAACCAATTATACTGGACAATGGAATTGCGGTAAATAGTGTGTGTGTGTGTGTGTGTGTGTGTGTGTGTGTGTGTGTGTGTGTGTGTGTGTGTGTGTGTGTAATTGATGTGTATTTAAGAGAAACTGGGATGATTTGGGATATTAGAGGTCCTAAGCATTACTTCAGTACCAGATAAACTTCTTGAAATTATTATTAGAAATAAAAATATAAATCAGAGATGAACCTAGATTCCATCAAAGAAACCATGATTTGCTAATCTATTAAATAGCAGATAGTATAAAACCTGTTCATATATTTATGCGATTTCAAAGACTTTTAACAAAGGTCCTAATAAGAAGTTGGTCAAGATATTAGGCAGGTATGCAGTGGGCAGTAAAATGCTTACCACAATTTGAAACTGGTTAAGTGAAACACTGAGGATACCTCAGTTTTTTTCATTGTTAAACAAATAAGGAGCAACCAAAAGAGCAAAAGAAGAGTATAAGGAACTCAGAGTCATCCAAATATTCACGGATGTTCTGGTTTTATGAGTTAAATTGTCAACATCATGAAATGGCTTTTTGGTAGAGGCTGAACATGTGCTTCTTCTAAGGTAACCGCACTGAGAATATGACTTGTCAGAACATGGAGGAGGATTTGTGTACATATTTCTGAACTTTTGTTCTTTTTCTAAATTTCATATTTGTCAAAAGTATCTTTGATTGGCACCTCCATGAGCAAAAGACTCAATACTTTCCCACTGGGCTTTACCAGGTAGAAGCATCCATCTATAAGCACTATGATGTTCTCTCAAGAC